TAATTTTGGCCTACACAGTAGGTTTTTCCTTTCAATACAGAAAGGGGCAGGAACAGTAAGTGAGAACTGTTGGTTGGGGGACCTGACCTCTCAGTGGCTACTTTCTCACTACTATACTACTACTTGCAACCTCTCCTTCCGACAGTATTTAAGTCTCCGCACTGTCGCTTGATCTTCAATAGTTCCTGACTATGGAACTGAACTTCTCCAGGCTGAGGACTGAAAACCCCTTCAAATTCTACGACTTCAAGGGTGATGGACTGATTACATCGTCTTCACATCTCTACTGTTCCTGCCTACTTTCTGTATTCGATGAAGAAGCCTACTGTGTAGGCGAAACGTTTCGGAATAAAGTTGCCTAACTTTTTGCCTATGTCTTACCTACCAACCTGTCGGTATTGTATACCATTTTGATCTTGTCAGACACTGCAACACTTGGCCTCTTGGTACAAAAAAACACCTTGGACAACCCTTTTAAGTGAGAACTGTTGGATCTGAGAGGGACCTGACCTTCAGGGGCTACATTCTCACTACTACTACTACTCGCACCTCTCCTTCCGACAGTATTTAAGTCTCCGCACTGTTGCTTGATCTTCAGATAGTTCCTGACTATGGAACTGAACTTCCCCAGGCTGAGGGACTGACACCTCAAATTCTACGACTTAAAGGGGTGATGGCTGATTACATCGTCTTCACATCTCTACTGTTCCTGCCCTACTTTCTGTATTCGACTTAAGAAGCCTACTGTGTAGGTGAAACGTTTCGGAATAAAGATGAAAAAACTGCCATAGCATAAGGGAGGCCTTCTGCCTCTTTGAGGCAATGGATTTCCCCGCTCATTTAAGTAGACCTGGCAATGGCGAGAGTACAAAGGGTGAGCCTCATGACAATTAAGGCAAGAGAGAGGTGACTGCAAGACATATTAGAATGGTCATCGGCACCACAGACTGAGCATTCAGGTATAGACCGCAATATTTCGCTGGGTAACCAAATAGCCAGCAATTTCTACACTGTTGCGGTGTAGGGTCACCTTTCAAACTTGTAACCAATGTCTTGCTACATAAACAGAGGATGGGATTCACGGCGTCAAAGTTAATCGAGCCACATTGCAAGGGTATCGCCTCCGCCCGCGGGCAGGAAGGACATAAGTGTCTATCTTGAGGATTGGGAGATCTTGGAGTTCCAACTGTTCGAGAATGTCATTGCCACATGTCTGAAAATTCTGTTGGACTATGGTATGGGGCAAATGACAGTACACTACAAGAATGAGGGAATGATGTTTTTCAGTAGTGACAGGAATAGTATCGATATGTGAAAGAAGAGAAAGATCATGAGCTTGGTAGCATTCTGGACAGTGATGATGTGCGTACCACTCTTAAGAGCATAAAAGGAAATATCTCTACCAACATGTCACAGAAGCATCTCGGAAAGATAGGCACTAGAGGAAGTCGGTTGTTAAAGTAAAGAATTGGAGTCCATTGTGCATTCCAAACTGAGCGGGAAAGGGAGTGCATAACGGGTTTTTGATCTTTTCTGAGAAGGACAAGAAGGTGGTGAAGTATCATCATCAGGCAATAGTCATTGGCGTTTAGGAGTGGGACCGGAGTTGGTCCGATGTGAAATGGGCTGGCGATTCGAAAATTGCCACATCATAGAGGGAGAGGCTGGAAGCATAGTCCAAAGAGAGCAGAGGTCAGACAAACAAAGGGAGTCAGTTGAAGCCCCGGTACCTGAAGCAGGTGAGGAAACAGCACCAGCAAGAGGTACAGGGGCATCAGGAGTGTTTGAAGAGTGGTCAAAAAATGAGGCAGGGTCAGAATGGGGTGCGGTATCAAGAAGGGGCCCAGGGATAGGAGGATCATGGATTGGGATTTCCATGGTTAGGTTACTTCTTGTCTTTTTGTTTTTAAGAAAAAAAGAAAGAAGAAAAGAAAATAAAAATAAAAAAAGAATAAAAAAAAGGGGGGGAGCGAGGAGGAATAGTTCCTAGGAGGAATGAAAGGGCCAGAAATCTCCCTCCTCGCCCAAGAGGACCTCAGAGCCGCAAGTAGCACAGATGC